TTAAGCCTCTTTCAACTGATTTTTATAGTTCGTTCTTATGTTGTACTGTTACACCACTGTCCCAGTTTAGGGGAGGGTTGGGATCCCGCTAACATGTTTAACCCCGCCACATTCTGTATGTATGTGCCTGTCCCAAGTCAGGAGCCTGTAATTCAGTGGTTGTCGTTTGTTTATGTGTTACATATTTGTTTTTCGTTCATTTTTTGTACATAAATTAGGCCGTTAGTTTTCTCGTTTGAATTGTTTTACATTGACATTTCGGGGCCTATTATAGCTGACTGTGCGGTATGGGCTTTGTTCATTGTTGAAGGCCGTACGGTGACCTATAGTTGTTAATTTCTGTGTCATTTGGTCTCTTATGGAGAGTTGTCTCATTGGCAAACATACCACATCTTCTTTTTTATATTAACAAACGGACGGCATTAGTATGAAAACTGCAAGCATGACAAAACAAAGTTATGGCAAAAATGTTTTGATTCCGACTATGTTAATTTCGTTCTTTGTATATAAATATATACTTCAGCTTCGGTTCTGGTATTGTTTTATTGAAATTTGCTATTATAAAATTTTGGAAATGATTTAAGAATGAAAGCTTCTTTTTTGTAATTTTATTGGGGTATAAAAAACTCCTTAAAGATACCCGGCTTATAATTTGGTACGCCAGACGGGCGTTTCGTCTACATAAGACTCACCAGTAGGGCTCGAATGAACATAGTTTGAAAGCCAAATCAAATACAAAGTTGAATAGCACTGATAATCTTAAATTCCGAAAAGTTTTATCAAAACGACTAAGGCAATCTATACCTTGGGGTAGAAAAACCTGAATATTTGAACATTTCATAAACAATAGATTTACAAAAAATTAAGATTTCAATGATATTTTATGTCATGTCCGCCACAATGTGCCATATACTGGTCTAGTGGCACCCTCCGAGACGAAACGTCAACCAGCAGTGGCATCGACGTAGTGGTTGTAAAAACTCATCTAAGACACCAGGCTTATAATTTGGTACACCTGACGCGCGTGTATATATAAAACTCATCAATGACACTCGAATGAAAACGGTTTGAAAGCCAAGTCAAATACGAAGTGGAAGAACATTAAAACTCTTTAAAACATTTAAACTAAGAAGCATTGACCAAAGCATATTTAGTATGATGAGCTGAAGCTCTTCTTAGTAAACATGTACACACGATCAACACTTTTACAACCCTATCAAAAATTACAAAAAGCATTCAATTCTTATGATAACATTTGTATGCCAGGACCATGAAATTACAAGTTACTTCATGCTTTTTGTTTGTATTCCTATGCAGTGTTGTGACGTTGTCATAATTTTATTGGGGAAATAGAATTCTACTTTAATGCCTCGCGATTGTTGTCTGCCAATCAACACTACGGATTCTTATAAACATACATGTTATGTCATTATTTCAAATTAAGGAATGTGTCTTCCATATGCATATCTCATAATCTTTGTCCCGGTTATATAGTCATTTCCCCCCATGCCAGTTTATCCCCCGGGGGAAAAACTGGCATGATCCAATCTTTCCACCGGGGAAATTTTGGATCATTGCCATTCTTCCCCCGCGGAAAGTTGACAATACGTATACACATAGCCACTTTTCCTCCATGCCTATATTTCCCCCACAATTTGGTTTCATCAAAATTGCACGGCCATTTATTGCATATATTTTCCGTATTTTCTCTGGAATGCCAAAATAATCTGTTTGTCGGCATGGGTTGCATAGTAAAATGTTTGATACAAATTGTGTTGGTTTTGTCGACACGCGTCTCACTTTAAAGGTATAGGGTCATGGAGTGGGGATTCGGCCCTATATTTTGTTACAGGGGTGCTGTTTACATTCGAAAAAATACGTTCATTCACATATTGACTCTGTCCAAAAATCCGACCTATTCGTATGGCTGACATAAAAATGTGTTCCTATTCATATTTACTGTGCATGATAAAATGCTACTGTGAAAATTGGATATTAACACTTTCATCGCAAAAATAAATTCATTTAGTATTCATAAAGATATTTTGACCCATTGATATATGATTGTGTAATAAAATTGCCACCCTTTGACATATGATAGGCTTAAAATTGTATCTATTCATTTATTTAACATCTGAAAAACGGACATCGGTATAAAACTTATTTATAGGAATTGACCCCGTGGTTGCAATAAAACTCATTACGCGGGGTATACATTGTAGTTGCTGAATATTTAGTTATGCGTTTATATAGGGCATTCCAAAGAAAATCCTTATTGGTGAGATTTAATTCTAATTTTGATTTTTCTCAGCTTAAAAGTATTTTCACACTTGCGGGTCAAATGTGAAATGGAACGGATATGGGGCCATGATACGAGGACAGCACAAAATTACCAAATGCAACACGCAAACAAGACCTCAATTGATTTTTTAGTATCTCCAACGCGATGGGACCCTCCTATAATAAGCAGTCATCTCAAGGCGGTCCCGAACAGTTTTTCTCTACGGAAAAATTGGCATCGGGAAAAATGGCTATAGGACACCGGGTTGGCTATTCTTTTGGACCTTTTTTTTTAAGACAACAGCACAATATAGTGAATAACGAATTCATAACAAGTTTTCAACTGGAAAGAAAGAATATGTGATGGATTTATGAAACAAAAGTCTCAGAAAGATTAGACCTTATATCAAAAGCAACGGTTTTGCTGCTGTTCTTCCGCATGAAATTTTTCTGAAAACTCTTTAATGAGGTTCTGAGCTAACAACGTGTCGTCGGCTTGTTCATTACTCAACGGTAACTAATATATACATGTATATCATATTATGTGTATGTCTTTCAAGGAAATAAGCAAATGTAATAGATAATTACAATTAACACTTGGACAATTTTCCAACAAATTTTACCATTCGTTGCAAAACTAAAGATCTTATAACTATAACATTTACCAATAGATTATCTTTAAGCATCATCAACTGACATCTTTTCGGACAATACAAAGCTAAGAGTATTTATATATTTATTTGACATTCAAAGAACAATGTCTGTGTTATTTCAAGAACGTTTATAAGTTCATTGCATTATTGTGTAGACTTTATCACTCGTTCTGTGTCGGTAATTAAGTTGTGTAGATTTTTTCACACGTTCTGTGTCGGTAATTAAGTTTTGTAGACTTTATCACACGTTCTGTGTCGGTAATTCTTAAATATAACGGTTGTCACTTGTGAAGCAGGAACTGTTTACTCATTCCCATTCGTACCACATGAGTTCACCGCAGGATTTTGGTGGGGTTGTTGCTCAACATTTTGTTTTTTCTGTTTAGAATTTTGTGGACTCTTGTAATTCTTTATGTTAATTTTCCCCGAATCTTTTTACCCTTTAATGACAGAAATTATAACAAAGGTTTGTTACATTACAGAGACGATCAAACTCCTTCTAAGAACATACAAGTAGTTAGTGAATCCTAGGGATTTTTTTAAATAATTCAAATCTTGTGTTGTTTTTCACAAGTCAAACTAACAGGTAATTTTAAGGTGATCTAAATAGCGTCAAAAGTTCAGCGGTCGTTTTCATCATGTTTATATTTTTATCATAATAAATAATAATCCTCCTACATTTGTTATGGCTTTTCCATGACCTCATCCAAATCTAGAAAATATTTAGGGGACTGTCAAATTTGAAAAATGTCTAGTTAATTGTTTAATGTTGATTAAGATAGAACGTGACAATTTTAAGATCTTTTATTCCAATAACGTGTATTTTACCTGTAATGTAACAACAAGATTTAAAAATACATGTATGTCATCAATATAGAGCATTCAAGCATGGTTATTGTGTATGGTCCACCTGACGTAATATTCGCCACGGAATTACGTCAAGGTGTGCTAAAATGACTGGACTTGTACAGGAACAAGGAAAAAGAAAACTGCAAGCTAATTGAATAGTTACTGATATAAATTTCTCGCCCAAAATTCAACCAAATCATATTCTACTTATAAGTGAAACTTAATACATCATTTTTCCATAGTAGTAATTTATTTTATTTTTACAATATGTTGATATTTCAATATATGAAAGTATTGTTTTTTTCTTTAATCTTTTTATATGGTGAAGTATCTTCAAATACATTACCATTGAAAGGTAAGATATACATATATATATAATTTTTTTTATAAAATTTACAACTTCTCTATAACATTGGCAATAATTCTGAAAATGACAAGTTCTTCTCTCGCAAAAGATTTTCAAAAATAAATATAAATTTTAGGTTTTTGCTAGTTTTTTGTTTTTTGTCTTTTGTTTTTGTTGTGTCGCAGGGTAGTTGTTTCGTTAACATATACCACATAGTTCCTTTTATCCGTATGATTAAAATAAGAAAATACAGTGATTGCATTGTGAATGTACGAACAATCTGATGGTTGTTTGGTGTTCTTTGTAGAAGCAAAAAATCTATCGTTTTGCCGGTTTGGAAAGAACAAAACTCGCTTCGCATACCTTAACCATTTCTTCGTTCTCACTTTTCGTACAACAATTTTTAAAAAGATTCAAGAAACTAATGCAGATCATACAATTCAACTTCTGACTTCGATTGTAAGTTTTGATTTAAAATGTGTCCACTCGAGAAAGGTTCTTTGGTTGTACGACTCTTTATAAGCAAATTTGTATATAACCATAAAATATGTATTTATTAATAAAAATAAGCTTATGTCGTCAATCTTATTTCAGGATGTCAAGGAAAAATGGATATGATATTCGTGGTAGATGGATCTGTACACAATACTCCATCAGACTTTAACATTCTTAAAGATACCCTTATTGAGTTAGTAGAACGACTTCACATCGGCCAAGGCGGAGCAAGGATGGGACTTATTGTTTTCAGTCAGACTGTAACAAAAGAAATCACAGTCACTGAAGACCAAACATTACTTAAACGGGAGATAACTAACCTTAAACAGATCGGCACAGGAGTTAATACAGCTACAGGACTTCAAACTATGATCAAAATGTTCACAGATACTTACAAAAGTGTAGGTGTACCTAAAATAGGTATTGTTATTGCGACCGAACGTTCTACTGATCCAGGACAAACAATAGGAGTTGCATTTGAAGCTAAAAATGAAGGAATCCGTATGAATTCTATTGGAGTGTCTACTTTTGCAGATAGGACGGAACTATCTGGAATAGCCAATGCAGATGACAAAGTACTGATGGTCAACACATACCAGGAACTAGCAGATGTTGTTGGAAATGTAGTCACATTAGTCTGTCCAGGTAAGTCTATATGTAATAGTCTTTTTAGATATTGATGTGTTGAAAAGTAGTTGGTGTTAGATTACATCTGTTCATTAAAAAGTTATCACTCTTGAAAAGTTTGATTCAGTGTGGATTCACACGAAACAGCGATAGTAGGTAAAATAAGAGATGGAAATAATCAAAAGTAAGAATGTAGAGACCGAGACAATTCAAAGGCACAGAGACTGGTGAATAGAAAGTTGTATACAAACAATTAATATTTAAACCCAATCTTATGTAATGCTAGGAGGAAATAATGTGAAAGAGAATATGGTATATCAACTAATTTATAATATATTAATATATGTAAACTATATATCATAAGAACAACACTTGTATAGCTATATGGTCTATTGTTTCACTATCGTTTAAGCCATTGTTCCTTTTATTTTCGTTTGACAAGTGTATAACTTACTCCTGTCCTTTCATTGGTGGAGTTTATTTTTCGACTAAATGTTTTAAGTGTTACCAATGATTGCTATTTTTACTTTAAGGTATCATGTGGATAGATTTTATGTGACGTCTATAAATGTATTCGAAAATGCCATTTCAATTGGACAGATTTCTTCTGTTGAAAATATAACCTTTAAGCCTGTGAACAAAGTATAATAAGTGCCACTCGTAAAGTGCTCCTGTATGATGAGAAAGTTTCAAGTAAAACAATCTTATTTCGGTTTTCCCTGTATATTGCCATGTTCGTTTTGTTTTACTTGTATGGCATGTTCGTTTTGTTTTACCTGTATGGCATGTTCGTTTTGTTTTACCTGTATGACATGCTCGTTTTGTTTTACCTGTATGGCCTGATGGTTTTTGTTTTACCTGTATAAACTAACCGCGCTGAAGTACGTCCATTATTTATTTTACTGTTTGTTTTACATGTATGCAATAGTAGTTTTGTTTAACCTGTATGCCATGATGTTTTTTTACCTATATGTCTGGATGGTTTAGTTTTATCTATTTGCCATGATGAGACTGTTTTATCTGTTTATCATGACAGTTTGTTTTACCTGTATGGCATGATGGTTTAGCAAATATGGTATTATTTAATCTGTATGCCATGGTGTTTTTGTTCTACCTGTAAGCTATTATGGTTGTGTTTTAGCTGTATGCAATGATGTTTTATGTTTGCTTGTTTACCATGACAAATTTGTTTCAGCTGTATGCCATGGCTGTTTTGATTTGTCTGTATGGTAATGTGGTCCTTTTTACCTGTATAACATGTTGCTCTTATCTTAAATGCATTCTGTGAGGATTTTCTGTATAACGGAGTTTCTGGCGGAGAAGAAAATCAACATTTATATTATACAAAGCTGTTTTCAGAGATAGATTTTCAAAAATAAAGGAACTGTATTAATTAAAATACTATGTATATTTTGTTTTTAGCACAATTTTTAACCACATGGATTCCCACAACGACTACATCGACGACTACAACACAACTTCCTCCAACAACAACAGCTTCACGTACCAAACGGTCACCTATATCTGGTGAGTACCACATCAATTGTAAGATCCCGCTGACTCGTCAAACTCTTTGAATTCGTAATGCTATCCCAGATATTGAGTTAAGACACACACAAAAGTAGCCAAACATGTAACTTAAATGTATATTTTATGAAATTACATAAAATCTTCAGTGACTTAATTATGTAAATTATATGTAAACGACAGTATCACAAGATACAGCGCGGATTTCGTTTACACATACATCCATCTATTAGTCCAAAATATAAATGTACTAACCATTAACTTGCATAAAATCATTACAATTCTCATAATCATCTACAATTATTATAACACAAAGTAGTCACTATTAAATCATGTATATAGATTAATTCAACTTTGTCTTATGTCATAGGTCCGTGTGAGCATTGCGAATTGAGGAATGGAGTCGGCTACAATCCACATCCAGAAGACTGTGACAAGTTTATCCAATGTTACTTTGGTGAAAACAATGAGATAGTTGGTGCTTACAGACAGTGTCCATGGGGACAATATTGGGACCAGGAAGTCCTCACATGTAGACCTGCTGAAAATGTTGTCTGTCAAAGAGGTATGTAAGTTACAAATATACATTCACACAAGTTTAACCCCGCCAGATTCTGTATGTGCCTGTCCCAAGTAAGGAGCCTGTAATTGGGTGGTTCTCGTTCGATGCTGTATATCATATTTGTTTTTCGTTTACTATTTTGTACATACATCAGGCCGTTAGTTTTCTCGTTTGAATTGTTTTACATTGTCATTTCGAGGCCTTTTATAGCTGACTATGCGGTATGGGTTTTGCTCATACGAAGGCCGTACGGAGACCCATAGTTGTTTATTTCTATGTCATTAGGTCTTGTGGAGGGTTGTCTCATTGGCAATCATACCACATCTTCTTATTTTTATATTAAATGCTAATTATCGTAACTTTTTCCATGCAAATTGTACACTTGGGAAGCGTGTTAATTTATTTAGTCATTCATGATTCATGTTTTAAAGTAAATACTTTGGACGTTCTGCTTAATCCTGACTTCATTTACAAGGATGATGTATACTGCGCACGTTATTTACGAGAATGAAAGGTTAATTTCTTTTAATTAGTCGAATTCATTGTTCTGTAATCATATATATTTATTACAGAGAAATGCAGACTGCCTGGCCTGTTATCTTATCCTTACGGTGCAATTAAAAACAATCGTGCTTATTGGAAATGTAACCTTGGAAAGTCTGTTTCTTTGTGTTGTCCAAAGGGATATTTGTACAGACCATATCAAGGATGTGTAGAGTACAATGGAAGAACTGAAACCTGTCCTCCAATTGTTTATCACGAAGGAGCCTGTGATATGAGACCAGTGTTTGGAAATGCAACTTACTACGAAAGACTAGTTCACGGATCATGGATAAGAATGCCGTGTGCACCCGGGACTCACTACGATCCAACCGAATGTGCATGCAGTTTGTTCTATCCAACATACATTAGCAATGGTATGAATTATATATATATATATGTTTTTTGCAGTAATTACTTTGTAGGAAGTACCAACATATTGATGTGTTACATATACCAGTGTCACGACATATGTATCTAGTTATTGACAGTTTGACTATCGAAATTCATAAAAGGTTAACCCGTCCATCAAACCTCGATTATATCGTGCGTTTCTATATCTTCACATGTGCACAATATGCCTCTTAGGATCTACTTTCTTACAAGGTGATAGAAATATTTCAAGATAACGACAAAAGAATTATATAAAGTTATCGTATCTTTATTCTTATAAGTTTTCAAACCTAAATCATCATTTGTCTAGTTTTTCATACTTTCTGTTCAATTTGCTTTCAAGTTGGTTTAGTATCAAGTTTGATATATATGAGGTCATTTGTTTTCTGTTGGAATAAGGATTTTATCACAATAGCACACTGATTGTGACATTATTTTTGTACTATTTCTTAGTTTTGTGGGCGTAATATTGTTATGATTCTTGATGTTTATAATTAGTTTAACGCGTCTTCATTTGCATTAAAGAAAACAAGTAGAAAAATGCCATATATTATATCTTTTTACACCAGTTGTCGAAAATATTTTATTAAAAGCTGATTTGATCTAGTGATTGACATTTATCGATTGGTTTCACATGGTACACATCGCCGCATTGAAAATTTCATTCTTGTAACTTTGAAACATTTCGTATATAGCAATCTATTTTAATCATAGACTGAAATAAACATAATAAAACTGTTATTTTAAGAGCATATTTGATATACGTTTTCGATATTTCATAAACAAATAACCTTCAAATTTTAAACATTTAATTATGATTATTTAAATTCGTATGACTAAACACTTGTATTACAAAAAAACTCGAGATATTAGCGGTGAATTGTGTCGAACTTTATCAAGTTAAATAAAATATGAAAAACAATAGAAAATACAATAGCATTAAACGGTCTTTTTATACTCAACTTTAAATCATACATTTGACCAAAGAAAATACTGATGACTCTCAAATAAAATAGCTTAACACCTTTCTAAAATATATGTATACTAGTAAATAGTTTTTATATTTTTGACAGAATGTAAACCCGAGTTGTTCATATCATTTGATGGTTCAGAAGTCAAAGATGATTCCGGTAAAAACACTTATATAGAAAACCATAACGTTGCAATAAAGAAGATAAACGGGAGTAGTTATGGTTACTTCGATGGAAATGCTAAAATTGTTATTCCAAGATTTGCCAATTTTGAGTCAACAGATTTCGTTGTAAAGATGAATTATTCACACAATCCCAATGACAGATTAGAGTCCCTGATTAGTAATGGTGATGATTGTTGCGATAATATTCCGTCCATGGCATTAGTGAAAAGTAGACGTAATGTTCATTACATGATAAAGACGGTTGATGCAAAGACTGGAGACGATTCAGTGGCCACCTTCCATCTTCCATCAATCGTAAGTAATCTATATTTATGCTTGCGTGTAATGTACAAATATCCTTTGAAAATTATATAGAATAGCAAAATGCAACATTTTCTTGGAAAAATTTGAATGAACCGAATTATTTATTTCTATGAGAACATGCTTCATGTTCTAAACCATACACAGCCACCTTTTATGCATGCTTGCATATTTAAATGAACATCTTTAATTTGACATCGTAATAGAAGTTCTTGAAAGATGTAAACTGAGATTTATTCGTGGTAAAAATCTTTTAAAATTCAAACAAGTTACAGTACAGTGAAAGGAACAATAGTGCAACTACACAATGAAATAAGCGTGTAACTGTACGTGTTTCGAGATTATCTATCTGCACGTGCGCTAGAGAACATTAGCTTTGTTCTAAAAAACATAACTGTTCGGTGTGAGCCAAGGCTCCGTGTTGAAGGCCGTACTTTGACCTATAATTGTTTACTTTTTACACATTGTGACATGGATGGATAGTTGTCTCATTGGCACTCTTACCACTTCTTCTTATTTATTTTAGCAGTATCAAAATTTTAAAAACATTGTTCGAACAGAATATCCACAAGTGTTTGTTTTTTGTTTGGCGAGTTTGCGTGCATAGCACATTAATGCAATTTCGGGTGAGGTCTTACGCTTTGAATTTAATGAGGTCAGCTATACATTGAAATTTTGACTACTAGGCAGTGACTTTTTATCGCCTCTTGGTAAATGTTGTGTTACTTTTTGCATATCCTTTCATCATATTGATAGATCGATCTATTTTTTTTAATTTCAGGCGAACCCTAATAACAACTGGAATGAAGTTTATTATATACATGATAGTCTAAGACTAGAAGGTAGAAGTAATGGTATAAGACATGAGGACTATGCAGTTGGTAAAATAAAGAAAACTAAGGCTGGATTACAAATAGGGGCTGGAAGACTTTTTCAAAATTTCACAGGATTAATAGACTATGTAGCAGTCTATCTATGTAGACCTTCACATCTGTAAACTAAATCAAGATAAATATGAATGAGTCTGAAATACTATTGTTTCGCTGGTAAAGATGCTTTGATGTTAAAAAGTATTAAATTGGATAAAGTTTTAGAGATTTGATGAACCTATAAAATTGCTTATATATAGATAGGTAATGATCTCATTTAAGTTAATTCCAACGTACACGTCTGTGATATTCTATTGTTTATATGTATAAAATGTGCTTTTGATTTATGTATTTATTTATTAAAGTTCAATGCGGGCATAATGTAACAAATACTTACTGTTGTATCTGATTATTGCAGTCGACCATCCTGATCGATTGATTATGTGTCACAAGATTCTTTGCTTCGTTTTAGTCCAACATATTTTATTTTGTACCCCATATAGCTGTAAATAGACCATTAATATTATCATATCAACTATAATGTTGTACAAGTATCATTTTAGTAAATACTCTGTTGTAGAAACTTATTTTTTGTTGATTTTTTTAATAAAAATACATGATATGATTTGTGATTGTTCAATTTGCATCAATATAATCGAGAAAATTTACACCAGGTCCTGTTACTGCATATCCAGTATTTCATTCCCTTTTAGTCATATACCTCAAGTAATAAAAAATCAATGGCTTCAAATCCTTTGTTCTGAGCGTTCCTGTTTAAATCAAACCCAGAAAGACTCTTCGGATGCACCAGATTTATAATTTTATTTACTAGCACGTGGACGCTACCGTTGATGTTGGACTGTAATTACCCGATACCATCATTAGCTCAATTGTCAGTGCTTTGCAGCTTACTGGATTGATACCATCACTGTTCCGTTGATAAGTTAGGAAATAATTAAGAAGTTAAGGTCCCAACTCTCTCTTGCAATTGGCCTTAGACGGTTTTGGCTATTCTTAAGCTCAGCAGTATTTATCTACCATTTTCTTTCAAGCCTTCCAGGTGATGGTTAATATAGAAAAGCGCATTGAAGGTACCAACTTTACAAATTGCAATTTTTATTCATGATTAAAAGTTCCCGCATCTATAGATATCACATTTTCTGTTTTGTTATCTATATTTTAGTTGCATTGCAAAGTTTGTTTGTGTGCGTGTCTGCGTGCTGGTGTCTCATAAAGATATAACCTTAATGCCCCCGTCATACTAGACCACGATCGCACCAAGCTCACCGCGATCTTGAATAAATTCAGATCGTGGTGAGATCGCGGTATGAGCGGCATGAAAATGTAAACTTTCGTTGTTTTCACGGTGCTACTACGTCCTCATTACGCTTCTACAACGATCCCGCTACGATTATACTACGTTCTAACCACGCTTTTTTCTGCGACCTCACTACGATTATCATGATCTTACTACGATTATCACGTTCTCACTACGACCATACCACGATTTTTCCGATTGCAACACGATCTTACCACGCTTTTATTGCGATTATAGCACGCTCTTACCACGATTATACTACGTTTATACCGCGATCTTACTGCGCTCTTAGCAATAACGCCAACATCGTGTTCCATATAAATACTGTTTCATTCCTTCTATTTCTCATTAATACGTAGATTTCTCGGAAACAACACAGTCATGCCACCAAAATCGACCAGAACTCGTTGGCGTGGTGGTAGGGGTA